CATCCCTTTCATTCGAAGTCTTGTTAGTCATCTGAAGCTACCTGTGCTTTTCCATGATCATTGTGAGTTGTGATCAAACAAGTACAGTACTAGGATATAATTCCATGTAGTCTGATCTTTATGTTCAATGCGCAGATGGCAAAGGTCTCGCTACATTGGTCGTCCACGGAATCAATCGCGATTTTCCATGGCCCCCCTGATCGACCGAACCGGAAGGAAGCTTGATCAGGACGACCAGCGCCGGAACCTGAGAAAGCGTAGAAACATCCGCCACCGTTTGCGCGACCTGAAAGCGTAGACACCGATCAACGGATAAAGCAAACTGCTTGCCAAGTTGCCATGGATCAGGCGCAAGAACAAGATGATGCTGTCGACTCTGAAGAAACTGAAAATGACGAGTCATCCAACAAACTGTGAGTTGGGAATAGTGGTTGGATTGGATGGAGCTCTTGTTTACGCTAGAAGTTAATTACTAGTACTAATATGCATTACTTTTCATCGTCTGATGAATGATGGTGAACAGGATCAAACAAATAACAAAATAGTATTCTTTTTATTGTCGGTCGCGCTATCAGCGATGAACAAGTTATGAATAGGATAATTCCATGTAGCTAGTCTGGACTCAGTCAGGCCAGAGAAATTCAACTGGCCGGCAGTGGTTCTAACTTGTAAGACTAATAAGTGTTCGTGTTCCATGCGCAGATGCCAAAGCTCTGGTTTGATTACGTTGAGCGTTGGCTGAGTCGCAGCTTGATTCTCTACGGCCTCCTGACTGAACCCGATCGATCACGACAACCACGGCTGGCTGGAACCTGAGAAAGTGTAGTAGATTCGTCACCACACTTCAAATCGATAGACGAACAAAGCAAAGGAACCGTTCGTCATTCATGAGGCACAAGATATGATGATGGATGCCGTGCCACCCAGTGTGTCAACTCTGAAGAAACTGATAACGAGCTAGGTGTGATGGGCATCAGGTGCAAAGATGATGATGCCATGCCTGCCTGCCTGCCACCGGGACTTGACCCTGAAGAAACTGAAAATGAGGTGCCGACCAAGGATTCACCCACACAGGGGGAGATGGGAAGCTGAGGGACGTCGTCGGCGTCGGTATGGTATTTTCAACCGGGATCTGCCGTGTTGCGGCTGAAGAAATAGGCCTCTGAACCTAACGTGCCTTCCTATTCCTCTGCCCCAACTTGCAGCATGTTTAACCGTTGGCTGTACGGCTCGCTATGCAATACACATGGCATGGGACCAACAATTTTTCAGACTTCTCTTTTGGCACCATATATTGGCCGATAGAGACTGAAGAATGTTCTCTTTCTTTTCCAGTAAAAGAATAGCCACTTAGAATCAGCAAAGCCATACTTTTCATTCTTCTAGAAAAGTTTGAGTGAATCCAGTTCCGTTGGTTTGCCCCAACATTTTTCATCCAAATTAATGGGACTTTCAAGAACGAAGACTTGCTTCCGCCCGTTGTCATTACATCAATCAATCATCAACAAAACTAATGGGACTGTACACATCATAACAAAACGGTAGTGCGAACCAATCTGTAGTTGAGATGGTTAGGTGGACAGTGATATCCCCAACCCACCAGGGTTCAAATCCTGGTGCTCGCATTATTCCTGGATTTATTTCAGGATTTCCGGCGATGCGCTTTCAGTCTCTCGAAGGTGCTCATAGGGGTAGGGTGTGCGTGTGTGCGCTCATAGAGGTGAGTATATGCGCGTGTATATGAGCGCTTGTGTCTGTATTAATGCTCAAAAAAAAATAACAAAACGATAGTGTTGGAGCTCAGTGGGCAGGGTGTGTGCGTCTGTTTGCAAATTTGTGAACAATTTTTTTAAATTTACAAACACTTTTTGAAAATAGGACCATTTTTAAGGCGGAGAAATGAACACGTTTTGAATTTGTGAACAATTGTTTAAAATGGGAACTTGTTTTGAACATTAAAATCAATTTTCAAAAATGTATTGTTAATCACGAATATTTTTTTGAATTTGTGAACATTTCAATAAAATAAATTTTTTAACGAATTTCTGTTATTTTTTAAATGAAATTTATTTTGGATATCTAGAAAAAAATTTCAATTTTTTTCAAAAATGCGAACATTTTTTCAATTTTGAAACAAATTTTGAACGAAAATAAAATTTTAAATTTCCAATTCTTTTTTAAACTGGGAAGAAATTTTGAAATTCTAAGATTTAACAAAAATTACTATAAAAAACTAAATTTTGGAAAATTTATAAAATTAATGTATGGGAAAAGGAAAAAATAAATTGGAAGGGAAAAAATAAAAATAGAAAAAGAACACAGAAAAATCAGAAATAGGCAGGCCCAACATTGGGCGACCGATGGGAAGCTCCAATTATATGCCGCGCTGTGCGACAAATAAGGTTCCCCAGCTGTGTGTGCAGGATATAAATGAGTGGCTTTTCTTGGCCTTAGAGCATGCGGCCCACGTACGAAATTCTGGACAAGACTTTTTATTTTTTTAACAGATGAACCATGAAAATTTAGTATCATCTCGGATATAAGAAAAATATTTTCGTGGTGAATGGAGGAAAAAATTGGAGAAACACACCTTGTTTTATTAGTAGGGGTATAGATATAGATATAGATATAGATTTTGTAATCGCTGTAGTCAGCTCATTTATCTCTACCCGCAAGCACGACGAGCTGCAAATAAACATCCATGGGCCCCGTTCACTCAAAGCCCAAGTGGGGATGGTGATAATCGTGGGAAAGAAAACCACTCACTCGATCTGTTTCTCAAGAAAAGAATTACTCACTCGACCGGCCCCGTTCTCGAAAAAAAACTCGGCCGACCGTCCGACCGGCGGCCTTCCCCTAGTCGCCGTCGCTGACCCTGCCCCGGACAGGATCCACGGTCGCCGTCACCGTCACCGTCGTTCCCCAGTCCGCAAGATGCGGTGCCATCGATGGCCGCGGAGAGGAGCGCAGCACGTTCTAAGGCAACTGACGGGCTCAAAGTCAGCGTGGGGAATTTCGCCCCAAGAGGCCAAGAATCTCTCTCCGCCGGCCGGTCTCCTCCGAAATTTCCAGCGAACGCAGCAAGGCCTCTCCTCTTCAACCACCCAAGGGCGCTCCGTCAGTGGCCTCTCTTTCTCATCCGAGGACGATCCGAGGTTGTGGAGGGTTCTGCTTCGAGGATCAAGGTACGGGTCGGGATCCCCTTCCCTCACTCTTTTACTTCTTGCTTGAAACTGTTCGTCAAGCTCTAGGCTTCTCTCATCCATCTTATACTTCTTCCTAGTCAACTTCAATTGGACTAAGGCCTCGCCACATATGCTGTTTATCCTCAATCAATGCGAGTCTTATAGT